CAAATTCAAAGAATTGTGGTCCCCTGATTTCCGTGTCCTAGTGGATGGGATGCCATTATTTATGATATATTGTTTCAAATATGCAGGCCTTATCATATGTCATTCAAAAGTAATCACCAAAGTTAAAATTTTTGAAAATTAGGTAAAACATCAAGGTCAAGGGGTAAAAAAAATCATAGTATGCTTGGAAACATCTTGTTACAGGTAATGTACATGTCAAATATAAAAGTCCTATCTCTTCTCAATCAAAAGTTATAAGGAAATATAACATTTTTGAAAAGTAGGTTAAACTTCAAGGTCAATGTCACAGAGTCAAAAGTCATGATATATTTAGAAAGGTCTTGTCACAGGTAATATACATGTATAATATGAACGCCCTATCTTTTCTCTTTCAAAATGATCATTTAAAATAATGTTAATTTTTTTGAAAAGTAGGTCAAACTTCAAGGTCAAGGACATGGGTTCAAAGATCATGGTGTGTTTAGAAAGTTCTTGTTGGTAATGTACATGTGAAATATGAAAGCCCTATCTCTTATTATTCAGAAGTTATGGCCAAGGTTAAATTTATTGTGACAGACGTACAGACTGACAGACAGACTGACAGACAAATGAGATTTAATGTCCCCTAGGTCCCTTTTGTGAAAACGGACGAAAATAATGCCCTTGCTGTTCATGAGAAGAAGATTTATGATGGAAAAAATCCCCTGCATTTTTCTATGTAAATCTTTGGATCCCCATATGTGGCCCCACCCTACCCCAGTGGGTAATAGTTTTAACAAATTTGAAGCTACACTTAGTCTATGTAAAGAAAGTTTCAACTTTTTGGGCCCAGTCAGTGGTTCTTGATAAGACTTTTTTAAAATGATACCACCAAATTTTCACTAATTCTTGATTATCCCCCCTTGAAAGAGGGTGTGACCCTTCACTTGAACAAACTTGAATCCCCTTTACCCGAAGATGCTTTGTGGCAGGGTTGGTTGAAATTGGCCCAGCGGTTCTAGTGAAGAAGACAAAAATGTGAAAAGTTTACAGATGGACAGATGGATGACAAACAAAATGTGATCAGAAAACCAGAAAAACTCAAGTGAGCTAAAAACTGATGATCACAAGTACTTGGAAAGAGTTACAGTATTTGAAAAGCAGTCTTTTTTTTCATGCATTGTTTTCAGAAGCTGAAAAGGTATGACTTGTATCCATGTTGAAAAAACTTCACATTTCAGAAAACAGTATGATTAAAAATAGTTAATCAAGGTGCTTTGAGTAGTAAAATAAGCTAAACTGGTATAGCTAATTCAACCACAGAGCTTAGTGAATTTTAAAATGCACAACCTTTTCAACTCTTAATTATTCTTAAAATATTTATATCATCATTTCTGATTCAAGGGAGAACTAGAGATATGATCAGAAGTATATCCGTTGACTTATAAACATGTACATGTATATTGTGTTTTTTAAGTCATTAATGTTTGTTTGTTGTTAAATGTCCCTCTTGGGAATTTTTCACTCATACGGAGACACCACCACTTAAAAATAATGAAGACGTACAAGTCGGATTTGAGGTTAACATTCATTTTAGGAGTTTTCAACAATTAAGACGTAAAGAGATAACTCCTTCCCCTTGCCCCTTCCAGGGATAGACATTAACTTTCAGATTTACTTGCCCTTCGGGCAAGTGATCTCAAACTTTGACTTGTCCGAACACAAAACTTGGTTGCCCAAAATAAGGAAAGAACTTCAGAAAAAAAATATATTACTGTAAATATTATGACAAGAAAAAATGTGACTAAATACACTACCGTCAATTTGACAAGGTGAGGTACCTGAAAAAATTTTGATGCTGCGTTTGTACATAAATGTATACCACTGTCCCTGTAAATTTAACCTGTTAACACACACTGCCATGAAGCACTAACCCTCCGTTTATTTAAATTCATATTTTTAAAAAAATTATTTTCGGTAGGATTCTTTTGTGAATCGTAATTTTCTGAGATAACTGTGAAACAACGCTGAAGGAAGATAGTTGCTACATAACACACATCGATCTTTACCTTGATCAGGATACATCGTGTTACACTTTACTTATATTCTGTAAGTGAATAAATAATCTAATTTCCAAATAAGAAGTTAACAAAAATGTTAGACGAACAGCATATTTACCAGGGAAAAAGAACGGAATAACGAATCCGATTTTCAAATGAAAGGTATAATCCAGAAATGCTGAAAAGGAATTCCGAATACAAAAACAATGTCAGTCAGGTACCTGGCGGAAATCAAGTCTTCAATTTATTGTTTTTTATATAAATTAATGTAAACGAAATAAATATGTACATTTCTATGAGGAAAAAATCACTTGCCCGATCGGACAAGTACGTCGCAAGATTCACTTGCCCGAACTGAGAATTTACTTGTCCCTGGCAATCGGACAACCGTTAATGTCGATCCCTGGCCTTCCCCTTCCCAGACCCCTGTTTGTTCATGTATGCAAACTAGTCTAATACTTTGGTTTGACATAAAAAAAAATGTGAATATATACAAATAGTTTAATGGTCCATCTTTTTGAATGATTTTCATTCCTAATTCTAGGAGAGTACATGGGTTGACCCAAATTCATGAATGAAATGTCAAGTAATCTTATCATTGATGCACTTTTATTTAATTTGATGTAGTCATATTATGAACATTTCCAGTTCATTAAGAGAGTGGGGATGACCTCCAGGGGTTCATAACCTTAAACCATTAGATGTACATAACATAATAACACAAGAAACAAAATTATGTATAGTCAAATGGAAAAGTTTTCTACTATTTAGGAGTCACATGATCATTTGTCATTTCAGGGACAGGGAGCAGCTAGGGAGATTGGAACCCCCCCCCCCCCCGGAATTTGCAGAGTTATTTAAATATGACTATATACTGATTTACAGAAGCAAATAATAAATGACTTTGGATGCCCTCCCCCTTTAAAAACATGGACCCTACCATCATTGTTTATATTTTGTTTGTTTGTTTGTTTGTTTTTTTTTTTTGCTCCTCAGGAAATTCTGGGCTGGAATTTTTTTGGACTGAGGTATGGACCCCCCCTCCCCCGGAAAAAAATTCCCGGATCTGTGCCTGTAACTGAATGTAATGTCGACAACGGGAGATAACTCTTCAGAATGTGAAATTCGTCTATTGTGGCATTCGATGATCCACTCTCTACCATCGGCTCATACATTCAGTGTCTGAGAGAGAAACGAACGACAACTCTGCATAGGAGATTGCCGATGATCTTTGATCCTTTTTAAACTTTAACCTAACCATTTGCATTTCGGTTTATTTTACCCCAATCTATACTTAAACTTGTACTTACCGACTGTCATAGGTCCTGTCAACTTCATGAAATATAATCCAATTAAAACACAAAATGAATTAATTTCCACTGATATACATGTAACACTGCACCACACCACGTCAGATGGCATGTGCAATCTAAAAATGATAATGGTAAAACTAGTACTAGTACTGGTAGGGTGACGCAAGCCCAATGTGATGTAGAAATTTTCAAAAAGGTGTTCACATACATGTACAGTAAAAGAACAAATTTTAAATTATCATAGCAAACGATGTTTTAACATAACGTTGCAATCTAGGCCTATTTCCAAAAACAGGCAAATTGTGTGTGTGTGTGTTGGGGGGGGGGGGGTGTCAAGGCTTTTCAAGGAGGTTTTTGCCTAATCAATACTAAAAATAAGTTTGCACATTTTGATAAATTCATCAAAAACGCTTTGTAATAAAATAATATTATTTGTTGTTGAGAAAATAAATTTTAAAAGTTTCAATTATGGGCCAAAAATTTATATCCCCCCCCTCCTTTATCAAAACCTAATTTACATCATTAATTAAATTCTGTTATTTCAGACTGGTAATGAATTAAGTATATGAAATGCGTATAAGAGGTTTATGGGTCACATGGTCACCTGAGCATTTTATCCTCGATTTGACGAATGCATGTACTGTGTAAATTATAGAATTATTTGGACTTTTTCCTTCGTAAGCCCAATATGAAGGAGTGTGCATTTAGAGGCAAACACCTTAGTGCGGGTATTACTGTCTCATGACAGCATCTAGTTTAATCTGTTTTATCGTAATGAAATCTAATGTTTTATTGCAAAAAGCATTGTGAGCATGTAGAAAAAAAATAAAATGAAACAAAATCATTCAAAAGAAATTCAATATCAGTAACGTCTGTAAGCGAATGTATTTATTTATTATTATTTGTGAGAAATTCCTAATATTGTCTTCCATGTAGTGACAAACGGATTTAACACCAAATATTTCAAAGTATTCAACTGTTCAAAGCTCAATAGTGGATTTAGATTGTTGGTTATTTTGGGCATATAAAGGCATATACAGGTACTGTTTTGTTATCTGTTACCCTTAACCCCCCCCCCCCTTTAAAAAATAAGGCGAAGAAGAACGATTTGAGAAGGGCAGGGTTGGATCCTCCTTTTTATAACAATTTCTAAAAAATTTGCTAGACATTAATATTTTTATAAATCATTCTTCATAAACTTAACGAAATTATTATTAATCAATTAATATTGCCATCAATATCAGAAAATTTTAACCGGTTTAAAAAAAACACACCAATAAACATAAGTTCTGTGACCGACACACAATTAGTTACATGTAAGCAGATGTAACAAAGTACGCTGCTTTTATTTCATCATAACTTATTTTATTCTATAAAAAGACTCAAAATTCTATTTATTAATGCACTACATGTAGTAGATTGGGGTGTTATATTCTAAAAATCAAATGATATTTTTAACTTTCAAACTTCCTATACATGTACATGTAAAAGCACACCTTATGCTAAAACTGTAATTAAATAATAAAGTCTGTGTGCTTTCAAAATTAATATTGATCATGCTAAATAATTGATAAATACATCGATGATATTTACTTTTTTTTTAAATCTAAAGTATCAAAATACGCATGGTCAGAAATTTTCAATCTAGGGTTCCCAAATGTCTTGGGGTGTGTAGATTGGACGTTTGTGAAGATACAAGGCCCTTCAGAAAACGAACCAGACTTTGTGAATCGGAAGGGATTTCATTCTTTGAATGTGCAGGTAATCGTATTAAATTTCGATTTCAAATTTGTATCCTTTATACTTTAAGTAACACGTGTAATTTTATTAAATAGATGGTGTGTGATGCAAAATTTCGTATTACCAGCGTTTGTGCCAATTGGCCGGGCAGTGTGCATGACAGTAGGATCTGGAGAGAATCAGCACTATGCAGACAATTTGAAAGGGGTATGTTTCCAACTGTCACTTTTACAATCTTTATATACATGTAGGGTTGAAGGTATGTACTTACCCGTTCAGTGTGTCAGCAATACCCCGCCAGGTTTCATCTTTAACCCGCCCATGTTTTCCTCGCACACCCGAACCCTTCATTTTTCCAAAAAGTTGATCTTCATATTTTAACACTTCCTCTATCAAATAAATTTCTTCTTCGGCCGACCAATTAGCTCCCCTTTTTTTCTTTTGTGCAGTTATAACCTCATCAGTACCTTTAACGAATTCTAACGTGTTTTTTGTCAGTAAGGCTGCAATGTCAATTTCTGCCATATTTTCTACATCAGACGACAAATTTTATTGCGTAAACAATAGCGTTAAAAAAATCCGCGAAAATGCACGAATTGTTTCATGTCTCGCCTCAACTGAGTAGAGTACATTTTTATACTCCTCAACTGAGGAAACCGTCAGAGGGTTTGGTGACGGTGGTTTGAGGAATTTCCTCACTTGAGTGAACCTCAAGAATTTGAGGCTGAGTATTGAGGTTGAGGTAGAGGAATTTTGGTGACGGCGGGGCCAGATGGCAACAGCCCTAGGGTACTAATTAAACCCGAAATGACTTGAACCACTGATTGGTGATGTGTTGCTTGTAAAGTTAATGTACAAGGTTTGATTTAAAAGTAATATCTCAACCGCTATAAAGTCTTTAATAATCAAATTTCATCAATAAATTTTAAATACTAATACCTCTTTCTATTTCGACTTCTTCTTTCACATTTCATTCAGATATATGCAGTATTTTTTTTTAAATATCAAAATAAACACAGCGTTGGGTCTCGTCGATCGCCGCACGGCAAGAATATACCAACGTCGTTATGATGTTTTTCTTCGGCACCCATTTTCAGTTCATCAGCAACTAGTTTAGATCTACGCAAAAGGAATAAACTTAGAAATAACAAAGTTCAAATAGTTTTAATACAACAATTCAAATAAGACGATTTATAGCAAAATGGCAATAAAATTATTTTTTTTTTAAAGTATGAGAAGTTTTTTAAGATATACGGATGAACTGGAGATAGGTGCCGAAAGGTAACGTCATAATCACGTCGGAAACAATATTTGCCGTGCGGCGGTAGACAAAACTTAATATTGTCTTAATCCTAATATTTCAAAAGTATTTTATATAACTGATTGAAAATTTAAGATAAAAGTCAAAATAGAGGGGGGGGGGGGATGAACATGTAAACTTTTGTTGATAACGTTTGATTATTAATATTTTATAGGAGATGTGACATTACTGTTGGATTAACCCTCGTATTTATGTAGGTTTTGTACTTCTGAAATCTTAAGCTAGCAAGTCGTATGTTTTCTTTTTATTTTTAGGTGATTCTAAAACTTAGGAATTGATATCTGATCACTGCATAAGACACATGTCATTGGGAAGTTGAATAAGATGGAACAGATTTTATGGATTTCAGCGATTTTTGCTGGGATGACCTCGTGGTTGTACATTTTATCAGTCAACATTCTAGAGTTAGGAACAAACGATACTCACCAGTTGGCCTTTTTCTTTTGGCTGTACATAATCTTATTATGGAAATATTAAGGAAATAATATTAAAGTATATATATGTCAATGAATATAATTTGAATTAAGAATAGAATGTCAATTTGTTATTGACCGTCACCGAGGCCCCGTGTCATGGTAGGCGTTGGCACAATAAAGAACCCTCACTGCTCAATGACCCTGAGTGCCGAGTAAAGGTCTAAATTTGAAGCCCTTCACCGGTATCTGGTGACTTCTGAGTGATGAGTGAAAAATTCTCAAACGGGACGTAAATCATCATACAATCAAGCTGTTCTCTATTTTTAATGGGAAAACATGGAATATTTGAAGTTTTTTTAAATCTCTTTTCTTTCAGGATACAATATTCCTTCATTTATCCGGACGCTTTGGTTCCCAATCAAAATCGTCCGGATAGGTGAAGTCCGGATACCTCAATGGCCTTGATTTTAGTTATATGGCCTTTCATACCATTGTCAATAGTGATTTCAATATGTTTTATTGTTTAAATACTAAAATATACACAAGCACTACTAGTTAACACATATTTAAATAAAATGAAATGAAATAAAATGAAAAGTACACAGGATTTATAATTGTTTATATGGCCATATAGATTATTTCTTCCAACCCAATTTTTAATGAATAAACTTCCTCTAGCCAACTGTCTGTAGAGCTGGTAGAGAAAAAAATATACCCAAGCAATTTGTTGACGTAGTCTTATTTTAAGGTAGTCCGATCCTCAGGTTCTGAAAATCAGCCTTTAAGTAATGGAAAATGCTCACAAAAATGTCTCTGATTTCACATAGTTACGTGAATTTACCTATGGTATTTCTTCAAAGTTCATAATTATTGTTAATCATATTATATAGGGAAAATTATCAAATCTCAAATATATTTTCAGGAAATGCGAATAAAACACCAGCTATGCATTTTCTAATTGAAAATTGATAAACAGATATAATTTAGGATAGAAAAATATAGGTATCCAGGCATTTGGAGATAATTGCATATTTTTTATGCTTATACACTATTTTAGTTCTTCTCTTTACTTCAATTATTATATAATACATAATGTAAAAAGCTTGTGCTATCATTGCTAGGCATCACATATTACTTCTTATTTCATATCATGCTAATAAGCATTGGTATCTAATGCTAGACTAAAAGAAATTCAATTTCTCTAAAAATAAAATTTATTTTTTTCTTTTATGGGGGTACAAATATAAACTTTTTACAAGACTGTTTCTGAGACTTCAAAGAACCTTGAATCATATTGAGATGCATAAAATGAAAATTATTGCACAAGAAGATCTCAATATCAAGCTTCATTTTAAGAATTTTTTAATAAAATAATAAATTTAAGAGTTTTCCTTCCTGGATGAGGATCGGATATCCTTAATATGAATGCTCATCCTTACTTAAATTGACATTAACTGCACATGTAATTATCTTAAGCGAGATTGCATTTGCGATTGTGTAATTTTGAATGTGATTTTATAAATGTCATTTAATTACAGAGTCCGTTTTGTGTTAAAAAAATACTTTAGATAAAAAAAAAAATCCGGAGTCGTGTCCATAAATAGCAATATACTAGTGTAAAAACAATTTTAAGACCAATGTTACGACTGTATTCTAACAGTAAATAAAATTTTTAAAAAAAAATTCCTGATATAAAAATTTATTTCCTTAACCAGTACGTATCAGGTTCATGTCAGAGAAGCAAGAGTCTCGTGTGTACTGTCATGTTGTAAATTTTGAATTTACTGCCACCCGGTAAATTCAAAATTTACAACATGACAGTGCCTATCGACCAATAAATAACATACAGAGAGTCATTGACAACAGGTCGCAGGCGATCGTCCTTGAAAACAAACAGCCAGGCCAGTGTTTTACTATTAAAATCCATCTCAAGAAATTTGAGCCGAAAAAACAAACTAATTAAAAATTACCGTCTGGATAAATGGGCCAAAATATAACGTAAAAATTGCATTTTGTTTTGAAAAAAAATCCGAATACGGACACACGGAATTCCGGATAAATGAGACAAAATAACGTTAAAATCTCGTCCGGAAGCTGAAGCATCCGGATATCTTAAGGTCCACTGTATTAAAATAGTGACTTTTTGTGTTTCAACGTATAAGTGTATCTGATGTCTAAAACTGGTATAAATCAGAACATGAATATTGCCTACATTTGTTTCATCATGTATCGGATTATATTGATTGAATTGAGACATTTTTAAATTACAGAAATAATCTGAAGTTTCCTACCTCACTGGAAGATTTACAGTCGGTGTCCAACCTATTAATGATGTACAAAGAGGAACACTTTCTCTATGTTCTGGTCTTATTCTGCAGTGCATATATCTATACACAGACATTTGCTATCCCTGGATCAGTTTTCATGGTCAATATTTTATAAACAACCCTCCCAACCTGAAATAGGACAGAAAAAATCCAAATATTTTGCATATTCAGAAGTCTGCTTTTCAAATATAAATCAATAAAGGCAATTTTTTTCATTAAATTTTAGAACCTGTTGGCAGGAGCTCTGTTTGTGGTGTGGAAATCGTTTCCTCTTATATGTCTCCTCATAGCGACAGGGGCCACATGTTGTTACAGTCTGTCTAAATACTTTGGAAAACAATAAATCATGAAATATTTTCCAGACAGAATAAAATTTATGCACGACATGGTGAGACATAATTTGATTTTAAAGATCAGTGATAGATTAGGAGAATATATGTGTATAAATTGAATTGAACATTTCTCTCTGGAATTTGCGTTTTGATTGTGAATTGTCATTCATGAAATTGTTTATTTTAATGTAATTTTTCAACTATTGTCCCACAAGGGAAGAGGATGCAATGATTGTTTGTATACATGTTCTTGATTTCAAAAACAAATCAAAAAAGTCTTTGTTTTATTTTTACCACCAACCCCAACAATTTTTATGTATGGATATTATTTGAAAACCTTAATAATTACTAATTACAGGTAGAAGAGAGTTATGACAGCTTGTTTTTCTTCCATTTATTTCCTATGTCTCCAAACTGGTTTTTGAACCTGGCTTCTCCAATACTCAACATACCTGAACATATGTTCTTTTTCTCAGTATTTATAGGTAAGTGGTAACACATATGAAATACAGAAAAGAAAAATAAAATAATTATATTTCTGTTAACCAAGGCTATGTAGTATGTACTGGTTTAAATGCTCTAAAAATTAAGAATAATACTTTCAGGTTTGATGCCGTATAATTTTATCTGCGTACAGGCGGCGAGTATGTTGTCTGAGATCAAAAGCATGGAGGACGTCTTTACAACAGGAACTTTTATTAAGTTGGCAGGGATTGCTGTAGTAGCTCTTGTGCCAAGGTTCCTTATGAAGTAGTTAAAGAACAAAAATTCAAGTCAATGTAGCGAAAACATTGTTTAAGATGTGTTTGCTTAAGATGCAATATGACTGGAATCAACTCTGTAACATTGCTGTGGTTTAAAGATTTGCTGTGTCGGAGTCTTCAACAATTCTGCATTAGATACTGAAACAGGTTTATTCCAGTCACTACGCATTGAACACTATTCAAATAGATATATGAAAAAAATTGAGATTTTTTTACGTGGCACATTTGTTGCTATTGCATTTGCACATCAGTAATTTCTTTAATACTATACACGAAACCTCACATTTTGTTTTCGGTATTTTTGCATTAAACATAAACATGATTTAAATAATCTGCGTTGCATAGACACTTTGAGAAGGGAAGGATGAATCCCTGCATTATAATTTGAACATGTATCTGCTCGACTAGAGGAAAGGTGAACCGGTGCGCTTAGTTGCATGGCTCTGTGATCAAACCTGAATTATTTCAAACTTAACAGAAACACATTTTTTTAAAATTTTCAAATAAATCAATCAAACTCTCCTCTTCGACTTGAGTATATTTTGTCATATACAGACATTCATACTTGGAGGACATGTCATAAGCAGATGTATTGCCACTACTAACAAATTCTAATTCCTCGTTAAATAAATAAATTACATTTTTAAAATTTACCTTGTTTGCATTTTAATCATTTAGTTCTTATCAAGCGGGCGATAAATGAGCGTTCTTTTATTCATTATTTCTTCGGGAAAAGAGATTCGAATGTAACAATACTACGTACAAATAGACATATTTACAACATTATTGAAGATTTTAGGTTACAAAATTAAAAAAAAAAATGAAGTAGATTTTTGAGTATGCTTTGTCCCCAAGGCAAGGTTGAAGGGCAGAGTGACGAAGGGACGGATAGAAGGACAGAGAATTAAAAGAATAGTGACGGTTACGTGAAAAGAAGAAAATACTTGCTGTGGACTTCAACTCGACATTTAGATATATCGAAGATGTACTGTCAATTAACAATGGCTATTTCCATTCTTATGTCGATACGATATATCCTGGTGAGCTTGAGATAAAAGATACCACAGAGTCTGACACATCTGTTTCATATTTGGATATTTTACTTGAAAAAGACGTTAATGGTAATCTAACAACCAAGCTTTATGATAAATTTGATGACTTTAACTTTTCAATCGTCAACTTCCCTTACTTATGCAGCAATATACCTTCATCACCTGCATACGGGGTAAATATCTCTCAGTTGATTCGATACGCAAGAGCATGCTCTAAGTATGAACAATTTCTAAAACGAGGTAAATTATTGACAAACAAGTTGATGAAACAAAAATATCAGCTGTCTCGTTTAAAGTCATCATTTCGTAAGTTCTATGGTCGATACAATGACCTTGTCAGCAAATACAATTTATCATTGAGTCAAATGCTGACTGACGTTTTTCATACTAATTGTTAGGCCATTATTTACACACTGAATTGTCGACGGATTTTTCCTTTATTTCCCGATCATAAAAAGGAGCACACCGCGGGTGTGACCGATCGGCAGGGGATGCTCACTCCTCCTTGGCACCTGATCCCACCTCTGATGTTCAGAGGTCCGTGTTGTGTTTGCTCTGCTCCTATTTTGTATTGTTTAATGGGCTTTTGAGCTTGAATACTGTTCGTTATCTCCATATATTTCATTACGATAAACACTTTATGCCCAGTCCATATTTATATTCAAATTTTAAAAAGAAAGTGTTCTAAAAGAAATTGCCAAAGTAATGCAATTCAGATGAATTCCAATTTCTTGTAATAAAATATTTAAATTGTTTACAAGACCTAATTGTGTGTACACGTTCGTCCTTATACTAGAGTGAAGTTATTGATATTATGCAAAGTTCATGCAAACTGTTTGCCACTTTTTTTTTATTATCGATTGTATTGTATGTTGTTTTACGTCCCATTCGAGAATTTTTCACTCATATAGAGACGTCACCATATACCGGTGAAGGGCTTCAAATTTTGACCTTTACTCGGCACTCAGGGCCATTGAGCAGTGAGGGATCTTAATTGTGCCAACGCCTGCCGTGACACGGGGCCTCGGTTTTTAAGGTCTCATCCGAAGGACCCGCAACTTTCACTTCGAAGTGCCGAGAGCATGGCGAAGGAACAGTTGCTACCCATTTTTTATCGACTTAGGTCAGTCGCGGCCGAGATTCGAACTCACGACCTCCCGATCTTTTTATTATCGAGCATCAGACCATGTTGTGATTTTAAATTTACTGTGTGGGGGTAAATGCAAAACTTTCAAAATGATGACTAGTTCATTTTTGTTTCATTCCAGATGTCGTTTGATAGTTGTTTTTTTTGTTTGTTTGTTTGTTTGTTTGTTTTTTTGTTTTTGTTTTTTTTTTTTTGTTTAATTGTTTGTTTTTGGTTCTGATAAACAAGAGAGTCGTGGATCTGAACCATCAGCTGAATGCTTGACCTAAACTTTGGTGCCAATGACTTGAACAAAGTTGAGTCGATTACAAACGAGGATGCTTTCAAATGGATTTCTCAGTTTGTAAACCTGTAGTTGTATGAAATATGGAGAGATGTATGTGTGTCGGTCAAAAGATCCGACTATAAATATAAAATTTTCTTAAAAGTTTATCGGAGTCTTGTGTAGTATACTGCTATTGAAAACTAAGGACCTCACCCTGACTCTGAGGGCCAAGGTTTGAAAAAATCTGAATCTGAATCGAGATCTTCACTGAACTTGGAAGTTTCTAAGTAAGAATGTTATTCCTGGCTTTTAATTTTCAAGGAAATATTCTAAATGGCGTCATTCTACTCTCACTTATTTTAAAATTCAGATTGAAATATGACTCCACCCATTTGTATGATCATTACTTATGTATACGGATTGCTGATATACCTTGTAAAGCTTCTTCGAAATAGTCTTAGGTCATGGTAAATGTCCTGTTGTGACCCTCAATTAGACATTTAGATTTTATCAACAATATGCCTTACGTTGATTCCATATAATGAATGCATCCCGATGGACTTGAAATAAAAGATAAAGTTTGAACATCTATTTCATATTTTGATCTTTAAGTAAAACATGGTTTTTTTTCGTCAGCTCCCCTTATTATGTAGCATTGCACATGTACCATTAACACTATCAAAAGTTCATATCAATTGTAAGGCTATTATTTTCATACTGTATTGTCTACGGATTTCTCCGTTTAACGAATCACAACAATTGGCATCAGGCGGATGGTCAGCAGAGGATGCTTACTCCTCCATGGACACTGATCCACCCTCAGATGTTTTGAGGGGTTTATATTTGCTCTGCTCACAATTCTTATTGTTTAATTTGACTTTTGAGCATGATTAATATTCGTTTTCGGCACATTTCAGTAGAAAAAGGTCACGATCAGATAAGTATGTTACTATTGACGTTGTCCTCATTTTTTTTGAGTGTATGAACTTTGAACTTTGTGTTTTCCCAAGATGTGCTGTAACATTTTGTTACATGAAATTGGATCCCCCTTCCTGCATCCTCTTTGATGGAACAGGTAATCAGAAGTAATTTTACTTTGTATGACACATGATTTAATTCCACTATAAAAAGTTTGAATCCAGTTTATAATTCACTTGGAAAACTAAGAAAATATCTAATGTTTGGTATATAAATTTGATGATATTGCGTCAAAATTAACATTTAATAGGCCTGAAATCTGCTTTTGTTCTTTGTAGTGCATTAACTCATAAACCAGTATAATATTTTCACTAAATGAATCTACTTTTAAAAACGTGTTTATTATTTTATTCAACATGGTTTTTAATCGTTCAGCAATACAGCCTAAGGTTATTTTATAATCACATTCAATAGACTGATTTGTCACCAGTTTTTCAAAAATTGTTTTTTCCCCTGCTTTTGGTAGGCAAGTTATTTGATTCAGTAAAATGTGATGATTCATATGAGTTATTGCCCTTGTAATGAAGGCACCTATATCTTTCCAAAAGAATTTAAAAAAAAATTCGCAGGTAATACCATCTGGTCCAGGACTTTTCTCATTTTTCATATTTTTCAAAACATTAGGAACTTCAAAATTTTTCAATGGACCTTCAAAACTGTCTGATTCTTCTTTATTTAATTTAGGAACATCACTTATCATGAATACATCCTGATTCCACATTCTCCCTACTTTTATGATCATTTTTATAGAACATCTTAACTCCATTCAAAATATCATATTGGTTAGAAACAATTGATCCATCCTCCCTTTCAATTTTAAGTCTAACTTTACTCAGATAGTTTCTTAACTCAAGACTGGTTAAATATTTTGAAGGTTTCTCTCCTTCTTCTATCCATTTTACTAGGAACAGTTGATCACTCAGAGTAAATTAAATAGTATCATTTTCAATAGAATCAATATTTTCAAAATTATAAACAGGGCAAGCATACTGTAATTTAATATTTTATCTTTTTCTATTACAAGAATTACATATTCTTTATCAGCAAGTAAGGAATTATTTAATTTCCAAAATCATCTCCCTTCAAAAAAATCATCTGTTTTAAAAATTGGAAAGTGATCTGAACGATAACTATTTTCAAACTTTACATAAGGGGCCAAATTGAAAGCCAAATTTGGGGTCTGATTGTATATACAAGTACTCTGAAGTTGATATTAAAAAGATGCATGAGTTTCTGATTGACAATATCTATGTGGTTTTTGGAGACTATGTCTCCCAACATATTTTTGTATTCTTATGAAGCAGAATTTATTCAAAACTTTATACATGAGAAAAAGAAATCTCTTGCTCTGACCTTCAACTCGACATTTAGGTACTGTACGTGTACTTAAAAAAAACGGGCTTCATATTTTAGCGGCTTTGTCGCAGACAATGATGCGCTAATTCATGAATACCGCTAAGAAATCATTTATGAATACAATGTACGGCATGGACATGTACAGCGCTAATTCATGATTTCGCCAACAACTCCATACCCAGGGATTGCGCT